AGACCCTCAGAATATGGTAATACCAACGAATTTTTCAGTTCTGGTTTCGACTTAGTAGTCTGTTTGTAGAAAGTCCTTTTTGCTTGACCAAACGCAAGATCCAAGATCGATTTTGGGTATTTTAACTTCTTCCCAATTTCAAATATATTTGCTATTTCTTCATCGAAAAATTCCGGACTACAAACTCTCAGTGCTCTGAGAAACATACCAGAAAAAACTGCCCGCTTGACCTGAACATGATGATTTGAATAGAAATGTACATACGAGCACACATTGGTAGGTTTCCTATACACATTGAATTTGAAACTTCTACCAATTCTATGAATCATGATGTCTAAAAAAGGCAGAACACCATTCACTTCGTTCTCAATTGTGAATTTAATTGACGGAACCAGCGAATTGATTTGATTGAGAAAATCAGTTTCGTCATGATTAACCGGCCACAGGCACAAAATATCGTCAACGTACCTGTACCAAAGCAAATTTGAGGGTAAAATCCTGGGAAGGATATTTGTTTCGAAACATTCCATGTACAGATTGCTCAAAACAGGGGAGAGGGGATTACCCATCGCCATGCCAAATGTTTGTTTATAAAATGAATCATTAAAGCTGAAATAATTATCTTTAATGCACAATTTTATAAGTTCAATAATGGTGTTAGTAGGCAAAGTTAAATTATACCTTGGGAGATATAATTATACAATATAGCAATATAGCAATCATTTAAACACGTATGGCACTTGGAGATATTAATAGGAGCTGCCTTGTATGGGCCAATAGGCCTTCTGCATTTACCTTCTTTCTTATAATTCCTTTCCTCCACTTATTTTTGGTGGTCAGGTGATCTGCCCAGGCGGATATAAAGGTCTGATCAGCAATCTTATCCTCATTCTACTTTGCTCTGATGAAGGCGAATTAGCCGAAAACGCGTTAAGCATTTTCTATTTTTCATATGTGGTTATTCTGCATATATATATATATATATATATATATATATATATATATATATATATATATATATATATATAATATATATATATATATATATACACACACACATACACACACACACATATATATATATATACTGTACATACATACATGTCATACATACATATATATACACACACACATACACACAGTATATAAAATGTATATGTATATTACAATACAAAGACTTAGGTAATACACCGAATGCTTTTCTCAAAAGAAGCAAATTTAAATATCCTGCTGAGGCAGCTGTAATTCAGATGAACAGCAAATAATGCACACTAATTTTTAAAGTATTTGAAAGCATCTTTTTTTAAAAGGAAGTAATGCAATAAAAACAACCAGCACAGTCCCATATAATACAAGCACATACACATGCATATACAAGCCCAGACATGCACATGCAACATACACACACATGCACAAATAGGCACACAAACTAATAATCAGTAACATTAATTCAGTCAGCAAATTCCAATTCATGGCACTTCATTTGTAAAAATTTCATATTTATTTTAACGAAATTACCAAATTTGACTTTCAGTATGATGTACAGGTTACCACATACCTCGTGATGCATTCCAAAGGTTTCTGTCTAAGTCTACATGTTAGCTGCAATACGCGAAGAGCCACAGAAGTGAATACAAACATCACACCCACTGTCAAACTACATGGCCCACAAGAAAGCCTTCACCCCCATCAGCTTCAACAAGGCACCGAATAAACCAGAATATCTTTTATTTAAACAAGAATTTATAATTTTGTATAACTTACGAGAAGCTCCTCCTTAGGCACCCCTCTACGCTCCTCTTGAGAGATCTGCGGCACAACCTCGGTTAGTCACACAGGCACACACACTAGCTGAAGGGTTACTACGATACACCCATTATGATGGAAACTTGAATCCTGTTATAGCAGCCCTTATATATCTACTATACAGTACTACGTGCACATGTAAGTTGTGTAAATCCAAAAGAAATAAACATGTGATGAACAATTTGACAACATATAATCACATATGCTTATTTTATATTATATATATATATATATATATATATATATATATATATATATATATATATATATATATATATATATATATATATATATATATATATATATATTATATATATAATATATATATATATATATATATATATATATATATATGTATAATATATATGTCGTACCTAGTAGCCAGAACGCACTTCTTGGCCTACTATGCAAGGCCCGATTTGCCTAATAAGCCAAGTTTTCCTGAATTAATATATTTTCTCTAATTTTTTTCTTATGAAATGATAAAGCTACCCATTTCATTATGTATGAGGTCAATTTTTTTTTATTGGAGTTAAAATTAACGTAGATATATGACCGAACCTAACCAACCCTACCTAACCTAACCTAACCTATCTTTATAGGTTAGGTTTGGTTAGGTAGCCAAAAAAGTTAGGTTAGGTTAGGTTAGGTAGGTTAGGTAGTCGAAAAAACAATAATTCATGAAAACTTGGCT